ATCAATTGCGAAATCTTCATCGGTAAATATCGTTACATTAAAGCTTTTCATTGAAAATATTCCTTTAAATGATAGCTTTAGAGGAAGCTATCGAATTGGCACAACCACCCCAGTTGAGAATAGCATCTGAAAAATATGAATTGAAAATTTTAAAAGCTTAAAGCTGGCTTAATTTCTGGAAAAATAGTTAGAAAAACCGATCAATATAACCAAAAAGAAACTGTGCCATGGACATTTCGAATATTAGCCAAATGGCTTTTACAGAGCCCGACGAGATGCCGTTTTTGATAAGACGGGAGGAGGGGATGGATGAAATGTTAAACAGGAAGGGACGGGAACATCGACCGTCGCCAATGTACTGGGTGTAACAATAGAAAAACAGCCCTTCTAACTCGACGCAGAAGTATCGGATCGGAATCATGATTATACCATTCGAAAGCCCTTGAAATTACGCGTTTACATCAATCTTCAAAACCATGTTTTTATTTAAATGCGCTATTTTACAAGCCATTTTGTAAAAATTTCCGGTTTTCGAGGTTGCTTACAAGCTAATTTGCCTTATTTTCTCGAAGCACAGCGACCCGAAGTAGTCGTTAATACAGGGAATACAGAGGTCGTTTCTTATTTTGTTAAATGCACTACCAGGGTTGAAAAGCCGCTTCGCGACTTTTCAACCCTGGTCCCGTCCCAAACCATGAAATTCTTCACTTTGCATAATTCGCCCGAATTGCGGTCAGAAATAATGAAAAAAGGTTGCCTCTCTCCCGTTATATAGGCTTCCGCGACTTCCGGCGCATACTAATCGTTTCCTAACAAAGAGGGGTGGCCAATTTTTCATGAAAAATAAATTTAATGTCGAAAGCAATTTATTTTCAAAAATCTGATATGTGTGCAGCCATCTCTAGATCATGACCCATCTTATGACGTATCAAACATATCTTTAAGCCCTTCCCCTAATTCGATACTACTGGAACACGGTGCCGGAAGTTGCATGCAAATGCACACACACACACAGGAACTATTTTTTATATATAGTAGGAATAGTAGGATAAAATGGCGCGGCTCAACAAAAACATGGTTTTGAAGATTGTTGCAAACTGGTCGTTTCAAGGGCTTACGAATCGTGTAGGAATCACCTGAGTCCGAACCGCTGGAGGCGGATGGTGTTTTTTGGGGCAACCTGTATGTATTTGGAAATATTATACCGTAGGGATTTGAAATTGACCGACCTTGGTTGGTTTGTGTGTTTTTCGCTCAGTTCTACCGTAGTCCTTCATTCACCAATCAGTTTTTTATCAAACCAAAGTTTTTGCCGTAGCTAAAGCGTCAATTGCCGCGCTGAACATTGTCTATCTCGTCCGGAAACGCCGAAAGTCACTGCGAAATTTGCCTGCTTTGACCCTTTACGGACGCAAAATTAATTTCTGCTGTGATTTTCAATAAATCGCAAATTTTGATACCGTATACCGTTTATGTATACGGTCACTCGTATGAATCATGCCATGTTTCTCTACGTTTTTTCTTCTACTTTAATTTCTTGTCGACATTTTAATCGGTATATTTGCTCTCTTGACTCGGATGAGAATGCAACGGTTTGGCGGGTGTTCGTTAGTTGTCGAGCGGAACAGAGACAAACACAATTCCTAGCGGGGCTTTCAAGTGGAATCGGGCGGGAGAGAGAGAGCCAGAGAGAGAGAGAGAGAGAGAGAGCGAGTGAGAGAGTGGGATAGAGAGAGAGAAAGTACACGGGCCGCCCAACTCCAGGAATCCAGCCCCGCACCTAAACATTGATTTCCGTAACTCGTACTTTTTGGGCTATTTCCTGGGGTTTTTCGGCATTGCCATCATTTTAAAGGGCCCAGAAGGCAAATTCTGCGTGGATTTTCATGTTTTCTGGCCAGAATGATGGATTTTTAGCCTTTTTGATTTTTAGAAATTCAAATTGCTCGCTTGTCGTCTTTTTTGGGGTTGACCTGATCGAAATTGGAGTTTGTAGTCTTTAACATTTTTCTGCACATTTTTCAATTACAAACTGGCTGCCAGTTAATCGATTGCGCCACTAAAACCCAGAAGGCATCAAGCTTCTTTGAAATTTTCAGGATTTTTGCAGTTTTTCGCGAACTCTTGATGATTTTTCTAATTTTTCCGTTTCTTTCCACTTTACATGGCTATCACGCGCTTCTGCCCATGTTTAGCGAACACCCAGATTCCCTCGGCTCTCCCAGCCATGCCCTCAATTCCATGTCGTAATTAGTTTCTCCCCCCTGGCGGCCCATACTTCCCGATCCTTCTCCTAAAGTTGATTATCCCCCAACACGAAGGGCCCCCGCATTTTTTGGACGTGTTCTGGTTTTGTGCTGTGTTTTTGGCAGCCAGTTGGCACAGTTTCACTTTAAAATCGGCTAAAAATTGGATCCTGGAGTTTTCTAGCTGTTCTAGACATGTTTCAAGACATTTTTTAGCGCCTTTCTAGCAAAATTCGCATATTTGCGTTTCGTTTTGCGTTTCAGACACCGAAAATTTTTGTTTGTGAGCCAGTTAGCATATTTTTACCTCAAATCTAGAAAAAAAATTGCAGAAATGAACGTTTTCGCCTTGATTGACTGTTTTTAAAAGCAGGTCCGGCTTTTTCGTTGAAAAATGGTTTTTACACGTTTCTGGTGAATTTTGATGAAATCTATGCCACATTTTGCGGCTCTACCATGCTGCTATCGATTTCCCTTTGACTTGTTTACCCCAAAAAACTTCCACCAAAAAGAGGAGGTCCACCTGCCCCGTCCAGCGAGGAACAATTTTCGAGCGCCTGGGGCCTCTGTCAGCTGACCCATTCGGCAATCCCATCTTGTGGGGATTATCCGAAAATCGCATTAACTCTGTCAGTTTTCAATGTTTCGATTTTTTATGTTTAAATTCTTTGAACCATGTTACTATATACCCAGAAATAATTATAACATTTTCATACAAATATTTTTTTACAAAAAAAAGACTTTTCCAAAGGATGGCTCCCTAAAAATGTTTATATCCGTCTTGAATATTTCTATTCGTATTTTTGGACTTGAATGTTTTCGTTATTTAACCTGCTATGCAAACTGATCAAAAATCCTAGAACCTCGCTAAAAATTGCAAAAAAAATCGTTTTTTTTTAAATAAGCCTTTGGACCCATCGAAGGTCCCATCATCAAAATGTCCTAAAACGCCGATTTTGTGAATTTTCCCAAATCCTCTTGCTTCCGTTCTAACTATCTCCTAACGCTGCCAAAATCATCATAGACTCCCCAAATTCACTCATTTTTTTGAGGAGCGGAGAATTTTTTTGGAAAAGGGTGGAGGGCGGCATTTGGGGGAATTGGGTGGCATGGTGAAAGGAAAGAAAGAAAGAGAGAGAGGACCGAGGGGAAAGCCATAAACAAGTCACCACACACACAACCAACCAACCCATTCCATTCATTTCATGCCAATTCTAATTTGAAATGGGGTCCGGCCGCTCTTTTTCTCTGCTCTCCCTCTCTCCCGTTTTCTCTCTCGCAATCTCTCCCCTCTCTCTCTTGCTCTCCGTCGCTCTCTCACCTCGCTCTCCCTGTATCTTTCTCTCTCTCATTCTCTCTCTCTCTCTCTCTCTCTCTCTCTCTCCTCTATTTGATTGGTAATGACCAGGAACTTTCCGAATTCTAATCCGAAAGACGTATTGCTCCTCTTCTCCTCCTCCTCCTCCCCTTCTTCTCCTCCTCACTCTTGATGAGGACACAGCTGGAAGTCATTCTCCCCTCATTCATTCCGCCCCTCATTCCCATCATACCCCGGTTCCACTTACTCAGAATTCGACTAATAAATCCACTGACTAGCAGTTCGTGTAATTGGCGGTCAATCTTAATTCTTTAATCTAATTCAACCTTTCCGTTGGATTTGTCAATTTATCTGTCTAATGGTTTGACCTTTCTTCTTTCTTATGTCAACCAATTTTTGTAGAACTATTCACAAAATTTAATCAGCTTTTTGCCGGGGTTGGCGATAGTTTGTTTATCAATTTGTCGACTGTCCGTTAATTTGTCGATTCGTGCGTTGGCCTGACTTTTTGTCTGTCTGTTAATCAATTTTCGTCAAATTCATAAGAAAATTCGTTAATTTTTAGCAGGTTGCCAGTCTGACATGTCAGTTTGTGGACGAATTGTCTATCTGTCTGTTTGACAACCATTTTTCTTCGTGCCGGATTCCAGTTAATTCACCTCCTGCTTTTTTACTAAATCCAAGAAATTTTTGCCTGCCCGCCGTCCAGCTTGCGTGTTAATTTGTCGAACTGTCTGTTTGTCTGTCTGTCTGTCTGTCCTCCCCCTCGATCCTCCTCCTCTGCTCCTCGGGATGGCCTCGAATTTGATGTGTTTTCTTGCGGTGACCGTGTTGGCGAGGAGCCGCCGATTCCTTTCTTCTTCTTCTTTTCCTCCACTCCTTCGATTTCCTTCCATTCCGTTTCATTCCGTTTCTTTCCAGTTTACAGTCCTCCTTTTCCTAAGAAACTCGACAAAATTCAATCGATAAGCGGTCCCACAAAAAGGCGAAAATTACGATGTTTGTTTTGCTGTTGTTTCGTTATATATATATATAATTTTTCGCGGGTTTTTTTCATAGAAACCTGTTAACTAGCATGCAGTTAGCATATTTCAATAACTGTCCTCAAGAATCTCTGCAAGTTGTTCGATGATCTGACCCTCAGTAAACGCGAATTGCTAAATTATTTTTCTGTTTTACATTCGTCTTTCTATTTTTCGAGGTTTTCATAGAAATTAGTTAACTGGCATTTAATTATGATATTTTAATTATATTCCTCAAGAATCTCTGCAATCCCTTCCTATTTTCATAAACTTTTTTCGTGACTTTCCTAGTTTTCAAAGAATCGGGGTTTTTCAGGATCTAACGTGACAAACTACAAACTACAAGACCTACCGTACTGCAAACTATAAGCAACAAACCCTACAGAGCTGCCAGCTACAACTACAAGCCAGAAAATGACGTTCGGCTACGGACTACACGAATGGCTGACCCCCGGCCAAAATGATCGATCGTTGAATATAAAGGTGGGGGGCTGAATTCTGTGGTTTGTAGTTTATGGTATAGATTCAAACTTTAATCGACGGGCTGGCAGGAGAAAAAGAAAAAAATTGAAAAAAATTTAATTTGATACCTGGAATTTTTCAGAAATCGATCCTGGGCCTGGTGACTTTCCTACTTCTCATCCTGCTTTCGGCTGCCGAATACTTTTTCATCGAGGCGTTTTTCTTGGTGAGTTTTGAAAAAGGAGGCAGGCTAGCAGAGAACTTCTTTGAGACAATTTGATGGATTGGTAGGCTGGCAGGGATTATTTGGCAATTGGTTCTTAATTTCGGTATTTTCGTTTTTTAACCATTTTTGGCCAGTTTTTTTTTTAGGAATTTTGAGACTAGCAGAGATCATTTGAGGATTTTTTCGGATTCCCACAAGTTTTTGGGCAGGCTAGCAGGGACCATTGGAACAGAAATTCGCTTAAACCACGGTATTTTAATGCTATTTTCCAGGTATTCCCTCCGCCTCTCCTCCATGCCATCCTCTTCCTCATCGAATTACTATCGTTTCTTCTATTTATCCACGCACTTTTCAACGAGAAGGGGCCACTGGCCATTCCTCTTTGCGTTACGCAGGTTGGCTCTTTAATTCGGAATTTAAAACTTTTAAATATAGGATCGACGTTTTAAAACTCGCAACTTAATTTTTAACTTAGGGGGTTTTTAGGCGATTCGCGTTCTGCTTTTTGCCGGCGTCCTCATTTACTACATCATCGATTATTTTAACGATGAAGATGTACCACTCGAACATAGGAATAGCAGTACGTTTTACGATTTTTTTGAACGTTTTAGTAATGAATAATTATTTAGAATCACTCTATTTTCAGATCGCTCGAAATGGGTGGCAAAACTGGGGAGTCATCTAATATTCGTTGCGATGGGCCATGTGCTGCTGTTCTACTGTGGATGGGCATGTTATAGGGTGAGTTGAAAATCAGGTAAAATACTATCTAAGGAAGCTATGTTTGATTGCCATGGCTAGTTGGGCTCACACGGCAGCTTTTTAATTAGGGAATTTCAGAGTTTTTTGTTGCTAGTTTGCCTCAAACTATCGATATCGATTTTTTCGCTTTCGGGCGTGTCAAATTTTCCTAAATGGTCTCTGCTAGCTTGCCTTGGCTAGAAAACTATTCTCAAAACACGGAAATTCCGTAATGAGTCTTTGCTAGCTTGCCCAAGGTTTTCAAGTTCGTAAACGAAAGGACCAAATTTCCATTTCAAATCCATTGGGATGGGTGATGACCCCCAGGTGATGCCATTTCCACAAAGACCTCTGCTAGTCTGCCTTTGCGAACTTGCTTTTATTTCATTTTTTCAGCGTTTCCCCCATTCATCAGCCTACCGTAGCTCGATCTCAAAGCATGCAGATGGTGGCCAATTCCATCCCCAAGGGACACATCATGTGATTGTATTGGAACAACCGATTGAACAAGCCATGTATGGCAAGAGGCCATAGAAGATACGACTGTAACTAGACCTTTAAAGGGTTTCGGAAGGGCGAAAATAGAGCCTCCCATCCACTAGGTCTCGACAAGTACGAAAGACTCCAAAATTCCGTATTTTCATCGGTAAAGCTTTTGAAAAGCTTGAGAATCGACGCCTTCCATTGACTAGGTCTCGACAAAAATCCGCGGTTAAAATGGCCGTAGAAAAAACACTGTTACTACGCCTTTAAGGGGGCTGAAAAGTGTGAAAATTCGACTCCTTCCGTAGACTAGTTCTAGGCAAGTAAGCGAGACGCCAAGCCAGTCATACTATCTCATTTTCATCGCTAGATAAGCGTGAAATCATGACAAAAACTGCATCCGCAACTTGTGTCACTTGACGCTTCACGTAGCTGTCTAGACCTAGTCGATCAAAGGGTCGATTTTTGGACTTACGTTACCAATCCCTTTGGAATCAAAAGACCATATTTTTTATGGCTCTGGCTTCAGCTTTAATTTATTCATTTTTGTGTTATAAAGCACCTCAAAATTTGATACCATTCCATTCCATTACTGTACTACTTACAAAAATAATACAATATCCTTTCTGCTTTAAACTCGAATTTAGATAGTAACATAGTCATTTTACAAAAATCGTACAAATTAAATTTCTAAAACTTCATTTCCTGTTATTACTGTAGTCGAGTTATTTTTGTGAAAAACTGTATTTCGGGTATTTTTTTATTTTTTGGTTACTGTACTTTATGTTTTAAGTAATTTATGTGTATTTGAATGATTGTAAAGGCAGTTTATATATTTTGTATTCTTCTATTTTTCTAAAATTGCTTTTTTTTGTGTGCTTGGGGTACTGTAATAAAATGTAAATAATCATTTTTCGGACATTTTGTCGCAAAATATTTATCGCAAAGTGTACACACACAATCAAAGTTTCAAATATGCAAAAAATGCACATTAAAAAAATCAGGAAATTGAATTTTTAGGCTAAAAAATACTATCTGTAAATTGGGGGGAATTTCGTGAGAGTGAGAGGACCCGGGGGTGATACGGTAGAATTGGGATCAAAATCGTTGATTTTGATCGTTAAAAATCGTGAAAATTGATTGCAATCGAAATTAGCCGATGAATTCTACAAAAATTAATCGAAAATATGCAAATTAGAAGGGTAAATCGCCGAATTTTCCAGCAAATTTACAAATCTCAATTTGCAAGGCCAAAAAGTCACCTGATTTGGGGGTTTTAAAGGGCTGGTGAAGTGAAATAAATTTCGGGAAGATAAAAAATATGGTGAATGGCCTTACTGGTTGCCAATTTACGAAAAAATGGAATTTTAAACTTTCCAGGCCCACTGAAGGCTGAATCACTTATGCATCGGTGAACCGGCAGCCAGATCACCCAACAATTGCCTTAAAATCCAAAATTCTCCATTTTCAAGGGCCTTGCAAGGCTAACTGGTTATGGATAGTTAAACTGGCTGCCAGTTAACAGGAAAAGCACCTTAAAATTTTTCATTTTCAGTTTTAAAGGACCATTGAAGGCTAAACTGGCAGCCAACTTATACAAGAAGGCACCTTGAATTTTAATTTTCGGTTTTAAAGGACCATTGCAGTCAAATTAAGCGTCAGCCTTCTCATTCATGAGCTGATCGACGAACGGCTGCACAACAGATCCATGGCTCCATGCCGTTGGGTGGAAACGGAAACGCGGCTTTCCATTCCGGTCGATGAGGAATTTCTCGAAATTCCATGTGATGTCATTGGGACGGACGGGGTTGTACATCAACTCGTCTGTCTTGCCGATCTTGTCAACCGTTTGCGGGCATGAGTCCTGGAAATCGGGGTTTAAAGGGGCTCTGACAGCCGATATATGCTAATTGGGTAACAACCTTAAAAATATGACATATGGGCCAACTAGCAGAGGCATTTCGGGAAGCCAGTTTTCAGATTTTTAGCTTCGGTTCCGTGTTTAATTAAAAAATTTAGGTTGCAGCTGTTCTAATATAAGTGTTTTTAAATATTATTTACCATTCATCAAGGTAAAAATATACAAAAAAAATATCGATTTTTCGACCAAAAACTGCGCCTTTAAAAGGTTCTGAAGCAGTGAAATTTCTTTGGTAGTTTTTGAATATTCTTCTGATTGCAGCACAGTTTTATTGACTGAAAGCACTATTAAAATACTTCACATTGGTTTGCTAGGCATTCCCAGACTTTCACAGAAAATTTCGTCCACCCCCCGATAATGCGAAAGAACCAATTTTAGCCCTGGGCTGGCTAGCAGAGGTCATTTGGGAATCCGGTTCTGCGAAAATCTTGCTAATTGCTAGGCAGAAAAGTGCAGGCAAGCTAGCAGAGGCAATTTACGAACTTTTAAAGGCACCGGCAAGCCTAAAAAACCCAAATTTTTGTCGGTCTTTCACGATTTTCGAGCCTGCATGCCGAGTATTTCGGGGGGTCATTTTGAAAGATGGCCATGTTTTCCACATCCCCCTATTTTTCGGCGCCTCTTTTTCCGGCAAGGTCAATATTTAGGAGAGAAGTGAGGGAATAGAGGGAGTCTATGGCCCAAGGTCGAGTTCCTCTATTCACAGTATTCTCGAAAACAACCGCACTTCCATTCAAAAGTCACCTCCCTGCCAGCGTGTCAACTGTCAAACAGAAACCCCCGCAAAAAATAGGGCAAAAAATTTAGGAAAGGTCAGTGACGTGAGAATCCTTTTCACAAATAGTCTCTGCTGGATTGCCCGGAATTTCTGGCGTTATTTCAGAGGAATTTGGGGATAAACTCGTGTTTTCCCCAAAAAATCTCTGCTAGCTACCCTTAAAGCCGTAAAAATCCTGTTCCCAAATTATCTTTGCCGGTTTGCCCAGCATTTTCTGGCGTAATTTCATAAAATCGTGTTTTCCCCCAAAAAATCCCTGCTTTCTGGCCTCAAAAACGCGAAAGGATTCCCAAATAATCCCCGCTAGCCTGCCCGTGTTTGCCGCCATCCAAATGGAAGATATCCTAGCTCAAAATTGCATTTTTTAAATGGCCGCTAGCTTTTTTTACCAGTAAATTTGATTAAAAAACGTACCTTGATGAACTCGTAGAGGGGATGGTGGTTCTCTCCATTCACCTCGAGTTTTCCGTAGATATGCAGATTCTGATGGGGCTTCCACCCATTTCCGGGACGAACCTTCGTCACTCCATTCAAAATCTCGTGGTTCTCGGCTGGTTCCTGGAAATGTGAAATAAAAGAGAATCGGAAAATTAGGTTGATAGACAGCTCAACATCGCCGGACAGCGTGAAAAATTTAACTTGCGAAGGACTTACCTGGAGATAGAACTGGTTGCACGGGAATGCGATGATCGTGAAGCCACCATTGGCATTCTTCTCAATCAGTGGGTTGAAATCGGTGTATTGCTGGGTGTAGGCTAAAAAAATCGGATTTTAAGAGACCGCGAACTCGAGAAATTCGCGTAGGTCCTCTCTCTCTCTCTCTCTCTCTCTCTCTCTCTCTCTCTCGCTCTTTTTATCTCTCTCTCTCTCAACTGCATTTTTTGCAACTCCCAGAGAGCCAACAATAACAATTTGCAGGCCATTTGTTGTTGTTTCTTTATTTCTCCCTCGCCTTCTTTACCCTAAAGCTGCTCCTTTCCACGTCTGATCCTCAATTTTACGACCTTGAAAAGTCTCGACCCCATTCTTTTTCTCTTTTGCGCGTAACAGCCAAATATTTTGGGAAATGCCCAGGCGCAACCTAGTTTTTTTGGGACGATGCGAAAAGGTTCGCAAACTGTCTGAATCGGTTCCAACAAAATTGCCCGTCAAGGTCAACAATTTTCAAAATCGGGTGCTTTTCAGTTCGATTTAATCCCTAGAATTTAAAAATAGAACAGCTCAAAACCGTCTCAATGACTTACCGCAGAATGTGGCGACATTAATGACGAGGAGGACTTGGCCCTTGTATTGAGAGAGATCTGTGTAGTCTCCGCCAAGGGTTTCTACCTGAAATACAGAAAATACAGTAAATTACCTGAACTAATTAAATTTAAGACAATTTTGATGGGTTTAAGTAGCTTTTATGGTGACAGAAAATTATTTAAATTTATTAAAACGTACCTGAAAGTCGTAAATGCTCTGATTGGTGTCCTTGCATTCACTCCACCGCGTTGTCTCGTCAATCATCGCCGGTCCTATACCTATTCAATATTACGTTAGAATAATATAGTTAGTAATCTATAAAAAAACTTTTCATGTATTCATAATCTAAGCTGGCATCCGATTGATCAAACCAAGCCAAAATTATGGCGCCGAGGACCCGGGAAAAATTTTAAAATTTAAACTGACACCCAGAAAATCGAAAAAGCTTTTGAAAACCTTCACTGGCAAACAATTAGCCATTGGAAGCGGAAAACATGACCGTAAGTTGGTTAAATTTTAAATTGACTACCAGAAAAGCTCAAAGATATTTGAAAAGCTTTAACTGGCAGGCACTTAACAAATTGGGATAAAATTTTTGGTTAAATCTTATCCCAATTTGTTAAGTGCCTTTTAAAATTTAAGCTGACTACCATAAAACATATTTAAATTTTTTTAAAGTTAAACTGGCAAGCATTTAACAAATTAAACTCGTTAAATAATTGAAAAATAGCCCAATTGCGGGTATTACTAACCTGGAGTGGCTTGACATAGCGCGGCTAGGCCGAGAATCGCCGCAATTGCAAGCATTTTCCCTGAAGAAGTTCCGAGGGGATACCCTGACTGCCAGAATGGCCTTATATATTCCCCCGTCCACTGGAAAGAGACGGAAAAATTGAAGAAAAAGGAAAGAGGCGAAAAGACGATTTTTCCAGGCTCCGCCCCCTTTGCCCGCCCTGTTTCTGTAGGGAAAGAGGCGAGAGAGTGGGCAAATAGGAGAGAGAGAGAGACCTGAGAAACAGAGTATTTGCTTGATTGCCGCGAATCAGAATTGTGGTCAAGCCTAACTAAATAGAAATTAGAATCGTTATAAAGAGAAATGAGGCA